GCTAGATGAGGGATTACGTCCTTGTGCGCAAAACCTGAGACAGCCAGATTAGATTGGCTGACTGAGGAACTCCACAGGCTAAGTGAGTCAGCAAACAGATGCCATGAGATTTCCTAATCCTTCCATTTTCATTATTATTCATGGCCCAAAAAATACATAGATGATGACCTGGACTGGTGACCAAGTAGGGTACTTCCTTTTCACTCCATTTTATTCCCTATTTCTCCCATCTCTAATCACAGAGGGAGGGATTTAAAAGTAGTTCAAAGATAGTGGGACTATCAGAAGTCATATTCAGACTTCATGGAGACTAAACTGGAATATGAAGAGACATTACCCAGATGATCTGTGTATGAAGAACAGTGGTCCTCTGACATCACCTCCACGAGCACTGGACATGCCATTGAGATGCCCTTTAGAGAGGAGGTGAATTTATTTACTGGCACATGTATAGTAGGTTGGTTGGATTATGTAGGTAAGAGCATAGGGGAATCCTATATACAGAAAGGATGTGTATGTCTTGGACAAAAGTGAACTCTGTGAATACCCGCATTTTGCTTATTCACGATCATTCTGGAAACCTCCCCTTCCCCACTGCCATAGGGTTATCCCCATGTGCCATGCTAATTTGATCCTTATTTTTTGACCACCATTGATAGGGCCATAGTTAAGCATCTCATTAAATTCAGCCAATATGAGAACTTCCTGAGGAATTTGCCAATTGCAACTAAAAAAAGAAAAATGAAGGGCCGGCAGGTGGCCTGGTGGTTAAGGGCACTGGACTCCTACATGCTGACTGTGGTTCGAGTACCGGACCTGGTGGCTTTCTTTCTCACTTTCTCTACCGCGTGTCTTTCTTTCTCACTTTCTCTCCCCCCCCACACCCCCCGTCTCTCTCTCTCTCTCTCTCACTCTGTCTCTCTCTGGTCAAATTAAAATAAATAAATAAATCAATGAATGAATAAAGTTGAATAAAAAATTAGATAAAATAAAACTGAGACCAGCCAGTTTTGTAGTGGTTAAGACAGCTGGAACCCACATGGTCAACTGTGTGGTTGAGTCCTGGACCCGGAGGCTTGAAAAATATGCTAGGCACATGTGCATGCATGCCTGAAATCCCAAGGAAAATGGAGGAGAAGGGATTGTGGCATGGCCATCGCCCTGGCGGTGTTTCCTCACTTTCCCTTTCTCTTTGCTTTTTTTTTCCCTGGCAAGTGCACATGCCCTATAGCAAATTATTAAATAAAGAAAGAAAGAAAGAAGGAAGAAGAGAAGCAGAAGCAGCTCCAGGAGCAGCAGCAGCAGCAGAAGCAGTGGAAGCAGCAGCAGCAGCAATTCTCTCTTTGATGCCAATAAGCTCTGGGATAGTCTGAAGTTATGTTTTTCACCATGTGGACTAGAAGGGCACTGAGGCTAATTTGGGGGTGGGGATGACATAGGCATGCGGTGGGGAGCAGGGGAAGGAATGAAGAAGACAGGAGGCAGAGAGTAAGATGTGAGTTGGAGAGAGAACCCCTGATGTTTTTTGCTTTTGTTTTAGTTTTAAGAGATTTTTGCTACAAGGCATGTGTGCTTGCCAAAGAGACAGAGGCAGAAAGTGAGAAATCATTCCCATAGTGAGGATGGCCACACTGCAATCCTTTCTCCTCCATTCTCCTCTTGGGATTTTGGGCACTCATGCACATGCTTTCAGTGAGTTTTAAGTCGCCGGGTCCAGGACTTGAACCACGGTTGACTACATGGGAGTCCAGGGACGTATCCATTATGCCATCTGCTGGTCCCCCAGGTGGTTTTTGAGTCTCAGTTCCAGTTGTTCCAGAGGCATCCCTGTCTTTGGGTTTGGGCATCTGACTATGTCTCTGCTGAAAGCAGTTCTTACTTTCCCTGTGTGAGCCCCTCTACTTTTCTGGTTAACTATCACTCTTCTTCTTTTTTTTTTTTTTTTTAAAGAGATTTTTGCTATAGGGCATGTGCGCTCGCCAGAGACAGAAAGACAGAAAGCAAGAAATCACCCACAGTGGGGATGGTCACACTGCAATCCCTTCTCCTCCATTCTCCTCTCAGGATTTTGGGAACGCATATAACACACGCCCAGTCTGAGTTTCGAGCCACCGGGTCTGTGACTCAAACCATGGGTGGCCATGTGGGAGTCCAGTGATGTAACCATTATGCTATATGCTGGTCCCTAACTATCACTCTTTTGCTGTTAACTCACATATCTTTAGCCTGGACCTCTCTACTGAACCTCAAACCTATTCATCTAACTGCCTACTGGACATTTCCACGTGGGTGTCCTACGGGCATTTCAAGTACAACACATCCCAAACTGAACTCATCATCATTTCACCCAAGTCTTTTGCTAAAACTTATGCCTCATGTGTTCCCTGTTTCTGTAAGTGACATCACAGCACCCCCAGTCACTAACCTGTGAACTATCCCAGACGTTCCTCTCTTCTATGCCTCCCCTATTCTTTCGACTTCTAAATCCTCCAACTGCTGTTCCCAAATATTCCAAATGCTCTCCTGTTTGTTCCATTCCTAATCCTATCATTTCAGTCCTTCATAACTCCTTGCCTTCACTCTCAAATGCCTTCATCCTCCCTTCCACATCAGCCCAAATCATCCTTCTAATTTTTGGTTATGATCACATTACTCTTCTGCTCAAAATTCTTCAGTGGCTCCTCACTGTTTTCAGGATAAAATCTGAACTCCTGCAGCTGGGTCACAAATTCACTCCCCTTACGCTCAGATGTACAATGACATAAGTCTCCTCTGTTTCCTATAACCGATCTGATCTTCCTCACAATGCCCTCACCCTGCTGGGTACCAGGGTGGGAGAAACTAAAATTAATCCACTTTGGTAAACTCTGTAGGAGCCAACAATTTATTTTAGACAGCCTTTAAGTAATTCAGTAGCTTTGGATGACTCAGTTTTTCAGATTATTTTATCCTTCCTTTTCTCCTTTTCAATATAGCATCTCAATATATGGGGGTCTTACATGAATTTCACAGTGGGACTGTATCAGTTGGCATTTGCTGAGACGTGCTTGGTTTCATATGAATGAATTAGTGACTAACAACTCTGAGAGGCAGTTATAACTGTAACCATTTCACAGGTAAGAAAGATGAGGCTAAGAGAAATTAAGTCACTTGCTCAAGATCACAAAGCGACAGAACCAGGAATCAACACCATTCCCAATTGTAGCGGTAGGCACTTGCCTACGAGTTACAAGTCTAGATTTCCAGAGAGAAGTTGAAGCTGGGTTTGAGAACATTGGTAGTCTTCATGACATAGTTCCACGTATGAGACTATGTAAAGGAGGATGAGAAGAGCACAGAACAGAATGCTTAAGAAACACTGGTGGGGCCAACAGGTGGCACAGTGGCCGAGACACTGCAATCCCACATGGCCCACTGCAGTTAAAGACCCAGACCTGGTGGCCTGCTTTCTCACTTTCCCTCTCTGTCTCTCCCTGGTGTGCGCACATGCCCTGTAGCAAATTAAAACCAACAATAACAATAATGATATTTAGTTAAATAATATATATTTAAAAAAAGAAAGAAAGACTGGCATGTGAGAGACAGGAAGAGGAAGGCCTACCTGCTCCTCCAACCTGTATCTTCCTCTTATAAGACTGTCTAGGGGCCAGCAGGTAGAAAAGCAGCTAAGGCATTGGACTACCATGTGGTCATCTGTGACTTGAAACTCACTCTAAGTATGTGTGCCTGCATGTCCAAAATCCCAAGAGGAGAATGGAGGAGAAGGGATTGCATCATGGTCATTGCTCCTGGGGGTGATTTCTCACTTTCTGTTTCTGTCTCTCTAGTGAGCACACCCACCCTATGGCAAAAATCTCTTTCTCTTTCTCAGAGGAGCGTCTAGATGGAGAATCAGGACTTCCACCATGCCTAGACCTATTCCAGCCAGGATTAGCCATCCCTCAGGGTACCTTACTCCTCTTCATCCTAGGTTCCCCTGCAGCACAGCAAAGCACAAGTCAGCAATGAACACTGGGTGAGAACTCAGTGTGCCCAAAAAACTTGTGTTGCCAGAGGTTTTCACATCTCCTAGAGCCAGAAAATGTGAGGCCAACTACAAGCCCTCTAAAGTGGGATGTAGAGATGGAAGTGGGACGTGTGGGGTCTTCCTAGATGAAGGGGTTCGGTCTCTTCCCAGATTTGAGGATGCAGAGTCTTCCTCTGAATGAAGGGGACAGTGACTATTCCCAGATAGGGAAGGGTGGGTTCCTGAGACGTGAGAGGGTGCAGAGGCCTTGGCCTTTCTCAGATATTCGGTGTGCAGCTTTTCCAGGTGTGGAAAGTGCAAGAAGAAATTACCGAAAGAAGGTAGACCTCGTTCCCATCACACTCTCTCTCTACCCAGACCAATCAAGGCAGAGTAGTTCCTTCTGCCCTCCTCCGGCCCCCTGTCCTCAGCCTGCGAGAGGGGCGGGCCAGTCCCACCCCGGCGCACGACCAATGGCGTGGGAACCTGGCGTGGCCAACCAATTGAATGGTGGCAGCGCGCGGGAATAGCTCCGCCCGCAACAGGCTGAAGGCTCTGGC